GCGAGCGGAAGGGGGGAGAGGGGGGGGGGGGGGGGGTGGCTAGAACACGGTAAAGCCTATTTTATTTAATTACACGGCGGTCGGGCGATGCGTGATTAGGCCATTGTCGCGCAATACTCGAGCCTCTATCGGAGTCGCGATATGACAATGCGCTCCTCTCGCTCCTGCGTCGCTCAGCGAAGGAGCTCGACCTCGGTCCAGGAGAGCTCTTATTGGGTCGTCTTTGGCATTCCGCGTCTTAATTGCAGGTAGTCGCGGGTGAAACCGCGTGACAGCGTCGCTCGATTGGCGCTCGGAGATTAGCGGAAAGGTCAGAATTGCCGAGCGCTTATTATCCCCACAAGTACGCGATATCTCGTCTGTTTTTAATGATAGGGAGCAGCGAGGATTTTTTTCGACGTCTCGACGCGTGCCGAGGACTTGTGCCACGACGACAGCTTGCGACCAAATCACTCTGGAATGAGATTGACCGTGTTGGACCGTCTTGACGCGCCCATCGCCCATTATAATTTACGTATTAGAATGCGAATGGGCACTTCCATACTATTGCAAATAAGTTATCAAGCGGTTCTCCTACCTATATTGGGAGAAACTCGTTGACTCGAGAGTGCGAGGCAACATCGCTCTTTCACCAAAGTTATTCAGATCTTCGTTCGCGCCATTTTATTTGTAAGATTATAAGTCGAAGAGGCTGAGCTTTTTAATCATATCGAGGTAAAAAAATAATCGATCGCTCACTCCACCGTCTGTTTAATAAATACAAAGAGGTCGTTAATGGTAGGTCGGGTATTTTATGGTAGCGACGAACATGCACGTAAAAAATAAGAATCTCGTTTGTTATTTTGGTAATCGTGAAAGTCGGTGCTGTTGGTGAATTTCTTCGTAAGATACCTCAGCATGAGATGCCAATGGAAATACCTGCTGACGTATTTTTTGATAAACGTAAGAGAGAGAGAGAGAGAGAGAGAGAGAGAGAGAGAGAGAGAGAGAGACGAGGAAGAAAATAAACATATGGGATGAAAGCGAGAAGAAAGAATAAAGGAAGATGCTTTAAAAGGACGATAAATTGCAACGCACATGAATGTACCAGCATTATAGGTCTCTCTCTCTCTCTCTCTATCTATCTATCTATCTATCTCTTTATCTCTCTCTCTCTATCTCTCTCTCTCTCTCTTTCTCTCTGTCTTTGGGCATTCGAAAACAAAAACAAAAATAAAAGGTGGAGCAAAGCGAGTGTGAGTTGGGTGCAGCTACAATGTCGGGCGCGTCGACCTGCTTATGTGCTCTCGTTCTCTTCTTTTTCTTTCTCTCTCCATTTCTGACATCCACTGCGAACGATGCCGCTGCTTATAACGATCCGATTGAAAATTCCATAACGAAGCCAGCAACACCATCGAACGTATACCCAAGCACAATACACGCACCGTCCCTGCTCATTTTTTTCTTTATCTTTTTTTTTTACGACTCATCTAAACATTTGTAATTAGCGAGGGCGATACAATACGTTCCCGAGACGTTGGCCCTCCCCGCCCAACCCCTCTCCCCCTAATCATCCAACTGCCGGCTCTGTTTACACCCGGCACGATAAAAGCGAATACACGTTTTCCTCTTATTTTTCTATATCGTCGAATCGTTATATCACCTTTACCGTGAGCCAAGAGTACTCGTTCAAGGTCCCCGTGACGGGCGTTACGACATGTTGCATTGTCAGGCCCTGCCCTCGTCGTCGAGACTTCGACCATCGAATTTCGCCGTATCCGCGTAATAATGTAGGAAAACATTGGGCGGCTGTTCATTTGTTTGGTGCCTGTCGTCGACACAAGTAATCGCATCGGTCGCCATCGAGGACTTGCAACGCTTTTCCAGCAATGTGAATGTGTCTGTTGACGAGCCGAGAGAGTCTGGACCACGCTCGAGGTAGGATACACGCAAATCCTTATGAAAATCATTGACTTTTATATTTTAAACTATCGAGCCGAAACTATCGAGCTCGATCGCTCAACTTGGTTTTGCTTTCTTCCCCGATTTGGCGCAATCTTGGCTCGGGCGGTTCCCTTACACGATTACACGAGGGCCAAAACTTCACTGTGATGAAATTCACTGTGATATATCATTTTATTTTTCTTGCTCTTCCATTAAAATTAATTAGAAATCCGACAAAATTATCCAGCTGTGAGGAAATTCGAGCTTATGACCTTGATAAAGCAAACGTAAACTTTTTACCATTAAATACAAATTAATTGTAATTTCAGATTAGCTTCTTGCTTTCATGAATTTCATTTCTTGCGAGCCTTCGATTTCGAGATACGCATACTTAGCACTCATTTATTCGTGATAATGTATTGCTTCAATATGGACGATTACGTGGAATTCTAATAATACATATTAAAAATACAACGGCTTGTAATGTACGTATTTACATTTATTATGTGTAAGTTGTAAGAAAGCATAAGAATTTGTAGGATCTAATTTTACGCTAATCTTAGAGTATATTGAATTTTACATGAAAATAAAATAAAAATATAATAGAGAATAGATAATAAATAATTATTAAATAATAAATAATAATTCCCAGATAATGCCGATTGAATTATATTTTTATGAATAGTGTATGGAAATGAATAGTTGTGTGTTCCTGTTTTTTCTCCTTTTTTTACATTTGTTTCTTCCTTTTCTTCTTCTTTTTCACATTTCGTGTTTATTTATACATTAAACGAAAATCCGTCCATTCAATGTTCATCGTCTTTGGCGATAAAACGACTATACTAAATTACAATTTTACAATAGTACGTCTATTAATCAAATGCATTCCAGTGAGATTTGAAAAACGATGACACCTCAATCAAATAGTTGCGAATACTTAAAATTTATCATTACAAAATTGTCGCGAGAATGCCCTTTACTAAAATCAACATCCTTACCAAACTAATGATAAATCTGTGCTTTTATGTAAATCCTAAAATATTACCTCGAGGAAGATACAGCATTCGTAAATAAAAGAATATTTGAAAATGGTGGAATTATAGTCTTATGAAAATATTTCGAGGTATTAGATACTAAAATACATTATGAGAAATTTAAGTAAAAAAAAGAAACTAATAATAATAATAATAATAATAATAATAATAATAATAATAACAACAATAACAAAAACAACAATAACAAAAACAATAGTAATAATAATAATAATAATAATAATAAAAAGAATTCCATAATAACGTTCCAATGTTATTATTATGGATACATATATGCACATGTACATATGCACGCCTCCATTGTATTCTCTTAAATTAAATGACAATTATTATTATTAGTATGAAATTAAAATTTTTAAGAATTTTTTTAGTTTTACATGTACGTATTACATATGATAGATGAAGTTCTTCCCGAAACAAATCATATTTTTTTTTAAACTCAATGTACAAGAAGTTCAAATCATTATTTTAATCTATTTTCATTTAGTTTTACTAAGTACGTTGTTGATGATTGTTCCTATTTTTAAAAATATCCCAGAGTTTCTTACATCACGAGCCTGGCACACTGGTAATTAATTCTTTTTTCTTCCATTCTTTACAATAATGAAAATCATGTTGTTCTATCTGCGTTAGTTATTAGAGCCAATGATAATAGCTGGAATTTTAATATTTAATTTTAATTAAGTGTTTAGGTACATCGGAGGTTTTTGCTTCAGCTGGAGTAGTATTCTCGATAATATTTACTCGTATAAATTAGGATGAAACGTTTAACATATATTGGTATGCGTAAATTATATTTTAGCTTGGAATTTTTCCTCACTTTTTCCTTCAATATAAGGAAAATTGAGAAGGGCGGGAGGGAGAGAGAGAGAGAGAGAGAGAGAGAGAGAGAGAGAGAGAGAGGAGTGTACATTTGGTTTATAAGTCTTTTGACGCCGCGATACTTTAAACGAGTGAAATTTTCAATTTAAAAGAATAATGCCATTTATGTTATAATTTTGTCAATTTCTTGGATCATAAAAAAGACGTTAAGGTCATTTTTTATTAATAAATGACGAGCCGAGCAAGGCAAATGAGATGCAAGTGCAAATCCACGTACGTTTGAGGCCGCGGAACAGAAAATTCTGAGATTTTTAATGTAGACGCGATAAAAGAAAGAAACGAAGTAAATCAATTGGAATACAAAAATGAAATAAATGAATTTAAAAAACGATTAAAAAAAACGCTATAATTTAATGGACTGCATTTAATTAAATTATCGATCAATCGGTATTCAGGGTGTCGAGAACGGTAATAGTGCATAGCCACTGGAATACTTAACAATGACTTGAAAATGCCTGCCGCTCTGCATTTCGATTCTATTAAGCCTTCCTTCCCTCTTAGTTACCTTACCCCACCCCACTTTGGCTTTCACAATACGCCACATTAATGTCCTCTCGCGATTGCGACCCTGCGCCACCAACGAAAAGTCCTCGCTCTATAAATATATCAAAGACAAAGCAGCCTAAAGCCATAAAAACTAGCGCGGATCTTAAGGATCCAGGTCCTAGTGTAGGTGTCCCATCCTCCCGCTCGCATTTCCGGCCGAAAGCGAGCAGGTAGACGTTAGCGCGAGAGCTGCGAGTAGTGCTGCCACCTGAGGATAGTGCAGGTGAGCGCAGGCGGCAACAGGTAATATCCGAGAGCGCCGGCTAGAGTCCTCGACGAGGGACGAATGGGCGCGGAGGAGGGACGATCATCGCGCCACTGCTCCGGTCGCTTCTCTCCCTCCTCCTCCTCCTCCTCCTCCTCCTTTTCAACCTCCTCCAGTCCCCCTTTCACCACCTCCCGTCGAGCCCCCACCTGTACCCCAACCCACCCGTCTCCCCCGTGATCCACGTTCAGCTCCCTCCCCTGCTCCCCGACCGGCCCGCCCCCACCCCCGCGACGGCTGAGTGCGCAGGCGCCAAGGCCCCGCGGGTCCTTCGCCCGGCGACCGGCCCGAGTCCGCGCGGCTCGTCGAGGGCCCCAAACGTACGCGTCCAGCGCGCGAGGGAAGTTGGCAGCGACAGTCGAGCGCGCCTCGCTTTGCCCAGCGCACCGATACCTGAGTAATAGCCGGCGTCACGCGTGTACGAGCGATCGCGACTCACAGGCCCGTCATCGAGCTCGAGAGCAGCGGCGACAGGAAGTCGCGTGGCCAACCAGAGCCGCTTCTCAGCTGCGCCAGTGCAACGGCCGGAGGGACGCGCGGGACATGGCCGAGCAGTGACGTCCCGACCAGTTGGCAATCTCGAGGTAACGCCCTGGATTTATTCGTTACGTTGGGGGTGGACTCGCCCAAGACCTGCAACGGTCGGACGTTCGTCGTCGTCGTCGTCGTTGTCGTCGTCGTCGTCCCCTTTCAATTCCCCTTTGCCC